GGGCAACATATTGAGACCTCGTCTTTACTATAAATAAAAAAATTAGCCGGGCTTGGTGGCACATGCCTGTAGTCCCCGCTATGCTTATAGTTCCAGCTGCTCAGGAGGCTGAGGCAGGAGGATCACTTGAGCCCAGGAGGTTGAGTGACAGAGCAAGACCCTATCTCAAAAAAAGAAAAATAAAAGTTTATGTTTCAGCCTTGTGATTTGTCTTATGTTCTGACTCCGCCCTCAACCATAGGTTTATAACTTAAAAAATGAAGAAAATAGACTAGATGACCTAGACAGCTTAACATGGTTGACTGGTTTTAGATTTTTCAGCTCCTTGATTCCTGGAACTGTGTTTCAGTTCTGTTGGAGGCCTACATAGGTCCAAGTGTGGTGCCTTGAACTCCGTGGTTGGTTGGCAAATGTTAAAGAAGGAGGTGATGTTAGTAACTACCAAAGTCAAATTTGATTTCTATTTTTCTTTTTTTTGAAGATGGAATCTCACCCTGTCACCCAGGCTGGAGTACAGAGGTGCGATCTCTGCTCACTGCAATCTCTGCGTCCCGGGTTCAAGCAATTCTCTTGCCTCAGCCACCCGAGTAGCTGGGATTATAGGTGCATGTTACCATGCCTGGCTTATTTTTATATTTTTAGTAGAGATGGGATTTCACCATTTTGGCCAGGCTGGTCTCGAACTCCTGACCTCAAGTGATCCACCTGCCTCAGCCTCCCAAAGTGCTGGGATTACAGGCGTGAGCCACACTGCACCCGGCCTTTATTAAGTTCCTTCTTTGTGCTTTGGGATATCTGTATATCCTTAATCTAGCTCAGTCTCAACTATTGTATACAGTATGTACATATTAAAATGTTACTTTATCCCTTTAACAACCCTGACAAGAAGGCGAAGTGATCATTTTTCTTCACTTTCCAGCTGAAGAAACTGAGTCCTCAAGGTCAGAGCTACAGGAGGAGCAGAGGCAGACTCAGTCCCAGGTCTCCTGACCCCAGATTTAGTGTGCTCTCTGTCTGCTCTTGCATCAGATGAGGGTTCCTCCAGACCTGAGCTCCTGCATTTACCTACCTGCTAACAGCGAATCAGCTGGGAGTCTTTGGGAATTAACGGGAACTGCTAACTTGAGCAGAATAGAAATCGTCAAGATCCTGCAGAGGCTCAGAGGATTGGTGCGAAGGTGGTGCCCCAGGCTGGGAAATGGGCATGATTCAGGCTAACTCCTGGGGTTTCAGAAGCAGGGGCCTGATGAGGCACTGCCACTGAAGGGCCAAACTCTGCCATTTTTCATTTCTCTACTCAAGATGGAGAGCAAGGGAGGAGCAGTGGGTTGGTGTGGCTTGAGTCATCTACACATCCTTTGGTTACTACAATGATTCTCAACTGGGAGCAATTTTGTCCTCCCAGTGGTGGTATATAGAGGTGTTTTTAGTTATAAGGGTGAGAGATTGCTCCTGACATTTAGTGGATAGAGGCCAGGGATGCCAAATGTGAATTCTGCAGTGCACAGGACAGCCCCCTACAATGAAGAATTATCCAGCCACAAAGGTCAGTAGTACTGACAGGTTGGGAAACCCTGGGTATGGGCACGTTGATTAATATCAGGCTATATCTTGTTGGGGGCAGAAGGAAATTAAAGTGCTTTCACCAAGACAAGATGGAGTAGATATAGACAGCTTAAAAAAAAAAATGTTCTAAAGGTACTATAGACCAGATGCGGTATCTCACACCTATAATGTCAGCACTTTGGGAGGTCAAGGCAGGCAGATCGCAGAGTCTAGGAGTTTGAGACTAGCATGAGTGACATGGTGAACCCCCGTCTCTACAAAAACATACAAAAATTTGCTAGGCATGGTGGCACATGCTTGTAGTCCGAGCTACTCAGGAGGCTGAAGCAGGAGGGATGGCTTGAGCCCGGGAGGTGGAGGTTGCAGTGAGCCAAGATGGTGCCACTGTACTCCAGCTTGGGCAACAGAGTGAGACCCCATCTCCAAAAGAAAAGGTCCCACAAACTGGGGCAATCTGAGAGTGTAAAGATGAATTATACTTGCAAATGTAGTGTTTGAGGCTTCTTAGGAAAAGAGGTCATTAATAACATATTTGAAATTCTGGGCCAGAAGTGGTGGCTCATTCATGTAATCTCAGCACGTTCGGAGGCTGAAGGAGGAGGATCACTTGAGGCCAAGGAGTCTGAGACTAGCCTGGGTGACATAGTGAGACCCCCACCTCTAAAAACTGTTTTTAAATAAGGTTGGGTACAGTGGCTCACACTTGTAATCTCAGGACTTTGGGAAGCCAAGGTAGGCGGATGACCTGAGGTGAGGTGTTTGAGACCAGCTTGGCCAACATGGCAAAACCCCATCTCTACTAAAAATATAAAGATTAGCTGGGCATGGTGGCATACACCTGTAGTCCCAGCTAGCCCTGACTACTTGGGAGGCTGAATACCAAACATCACTTGAACCCAGGAGGTGGAGATTTCATTAAACCAAGATTACGTCACTGCACTCAGCCTGGGTGACAGAGCAAGACTCTGTCTCAAAAAAATATTTAATTAATTAATTAAATTAACCAGCATAGTGGCAAGCACCTGTGTGGTTCCAGCTACTTGAGAGTCTGAGGCAGGAGGATATCTTGAGCTTAGGAATTTGAAGCTGCAGTGGCCATGATTACACCACTGCAGTCTAACCTGAGCAACACAGTGCAACCTCAATTCCTTAAAAAAAAAAAAAAAAAACGGTCGGGTGCAGTGGCTCATGTCTGTAATCCCAGCACTTTGGGAGGCTGAGGTGGGCGGACCACAAGGTCAAGAGATTGAGACCATCCTGGGCAATGTGATGAAACCCTGTCTCTACTAAAAATATAAAAATTAGCTGGGCATAGTGGCATGCGCCTATAGTCCCAATTACTTAGGAGGCTGAGGCAGGAGAATCACTTGAACCCAGGAGGCAGAGATTGCAGTGAGCTGAGCCGAGATTGCACCACTGCCCTCCAGCCTGGGTGGCGGTGCGATACTCTGTCTCAAAAAAAAAAAAAAAAAATCGAAACTCAGAACTTAAACTTCAGAGGGATTCTAAGAGTTTTGTGTGTGTGTGTGTGTGTGTGTGTGTGTTTTGTTTTTTGTACTTTAGGTTCTGGGGTACTGTGCAGATCATGCAGGATTGTTGCATAGGTACATACATGGCAAGGTAGTTTGCTGCCTCCTTCCCCCCGTTACCTATATGTGGCATTTCTCCCCATGTTATCCCTCCCCAACCTTCCCACCCCTCACTGTCCCTCCCCTATCCTCTACCAGTAGACCCCAGTGTGTGGTGCTCTCCCCTGTGTCCATGTGTTCTCATTGTTCAACTCGCACCTATGAGTAAAAACATGAGGTGTTTGGTTTTGTGTTCTTGTGTCAGTTTGCTAAGAATGATGGTTTCCAGATTCATCCATGTCCCTACAAAGGACACAAACTCATCGTTTTTATGGCTGCGTAGTATTTCATGGTGTATATGTGCCACATTTAAGTGTTGATTTCTTTAAAGTGTTCTTGAAAATCACATTTTCGTGTAGAGTAACCTGTAAGGAACAGTGCATACGTATATATAGTTTATATCTAAACCTAATTCATAATTTAGGTTTTTTGGGGTTCTTTTTTTGAGAGGAGTCTTGTTCTGTCACCCAGGGTGGAGTGCAGTGGTGCAGTCTTGGCTGACTGCCACCTCCGCCTCCCAGGTTCAAGCAATTCTGCTTCAGCCTTCCGAATAGCTGGGACTACAGGAGTGCACCACCATGCCCAGCTAATTTTTGTATTTTTAGGAGAGATGGGAGTTTCACCATATTAGCCAGGGTGATCTTGAACTCCTGACTTCAGGTGATCCACGAATCTCAGCCTCCCAGAGTGCTGGGATTACAGGTGTGAGCCACTGCACCCAGCTCATAATTTAGGTTTTTGAGGGTAATTTCAACCTTAGAATGAACCACACTCCACTAGAATTGAAGCAAAATTAAACTTAAGCACTTTTAAAGGGAACTTCTGTTTTAAATTGAACTGAACTTATCCTTTTGAATTTTCTTTTTTTTCTGAGATGGAGTGTTACCCAGGCTGGAGTGCAGTGGAGCAATCTCTGCTCACTACAGCCTCCGCCTCTTGTGTTCAAGTGATTCTCCTGCTTCAGCCTCCTGAGTAGCTGGGATTACAGGTGCTCCCCACCACGCCTAGCTAATTTTTATATTTTTAGTAGAGATGGGATTTTGCCACATTGGCCAGGCTGGTCTTGATCTCCTAATCTCTGGTGATCCACTCGCCTCGGCCTCCCAAAGTGCTGGGATTGCAGGCGTGAGCCACCGCACCTGGCCCTGGAAAAAATATAAATTTTTTCCCCATTTATATTCCCTAAATGGGGAAAAAATTATCCTTCAAACTGATTCAAGCAAGCATTTAATTTAATTTGGACCCATAGACATTCACATAACTGTTTGCTAATTACTTAGTTACAGTAAAAATGTTTCACACTATACCAGATTACAGGATAATATTTAGTAAAGGGTCCTTTCACTTGTCAGCAACTTGGGATGTTGCCAGTAGGTAAAAATCTGATGGCAGTGGATCTATAGCATATGTGGTCATATGTTAGAATTTCTCTAACACTTTACCTTGCTCTTTGCCCAGACAGTTATTAATGTTAAATCCAAGTAGAAGGAAAATTGATTTAGCCTGTAGTTTTCCTGTCCTTCCTTTGAAGTTTGTTTGCATTGTTTGTGGATAAGCTGTGTCAAGGTGACTCATAACTTGCTTGTTTTGCTTTCATGTTTTATAACACCTTTGCTGCAGCAGGTGTGTTTTACCACCCCAAGGAAGACTAGAAATGATGAGAAGCTTTTCCCCTGCCCTCTAGGCACAGTGGCTTTGGGACTGACTGCCATGATTCCAGGTTGCACAATGTGAGTGAGCCTCTCACTGACTGTGGTCCTTAGCCTGAGGGCCCTGTGAGTCACCACATTCCGGCTGTCATTTCAGGTGAACCACTGCCTACCAGAGAAGATTGTGGTGTACCGTGATGGAGTGTCTGATGGCCAACTGAAGACAGTTGCCAACTATGAGATTCCTCAACTACAGAAGTGTTTTGAAGCTTTTGAGAATTATCAGCCCAAGATGGTGGTGTTTGTAGTTCAGAAGAAAATCAGTACTAATCTGTATCTGGCTACTCCTCAGCACTTTGTGACTCCCACCCCTGGAACTGTGGTCGATCATACAATAACAAGCTGTGAGTGGTGAGTGGGCAAAATATATAGTATTGGAGGAAGAATCAGTTCCTGGGTATTGGAATGGGGAGGTTTCCTGGAGAGGTGTGGACTAGAATCTCGGAGATGCTACAGGTAAAAGAATGAAGCTTTAAGGGGCGGGCATGGTGGCTCACACCTGTAAATCCCAACACTTTGGGAGGCTGAGGCAGGTGGATCACCTGAGGTCAGGAGTTCAAGACCAGCCGAATATGGCAAAAGCTTCTCTACTGAAAATACAAAAATTAGCCACATGTGATGGTGTGTGCCTATAATCCCAGCTACTCAGGAGACTGAGGCAGGAGAGTCACTTGAACCCAGGAGGCAGAGGTTGCCGTAAGCTGAGATCAGGCCACTGTAATCCAGTCTGCCTGACAGAGAGAGACTCTGTCTCAAAACAAAACAAAAAAAAGATTTTAAAACAAGAAAGCTTTTACCTCTTAAGTATAAAGCTGCAGATACATTGTTTTGCTAAGACAGTGTATGTTTAACTTCTACAGGTAGATAAGGGAGTTTCTACTATGATTCTGTTTTTTTAGGCAGGGTCTCGCTATGTTGTCCAGGCTGGAGTGTAGTGATGTGATCTCAGCTCACTGCAGCCTCAACTTCCTTGGGCCCAGGATCCTCCCACCTCAGCCTCCTGAGTAGCTGGGACAATAGGCATTTGCCACCATGCCCATCTGATTTTTGTATTTTTTGTAGAGACAGGGTATTGCCATGTTGCCCAGACTGGTCTCGAACTCCTGGGCTCAAGCAATCTGCCTGCCTCAGCCTTCCAAAGTGCTGGGATTACAGGCATGAGTCACTGCATCCAGCCTGCTACCATCATCCTTCAGTAGCCTCTTAAATCAGGAAACCTGGGTTCTAATCCTGGTCTGACCTCTGCGTCCTTGATCCAGTCACTTTACCTCTCTGAGCCTTAGTTGAAGGAGCTAGAATTATCTCCAAGATCTTTGCCAGCTCTGTCTGGCTGAATCCAACCATATCACTAATGTGTGATTTTCCTTCCTAGGGTGGATTTCTACCTTCTTGCCCATCACGTACGGCAGGGCTGTGGCATTCCTACGCATTATGTCTGTGTTCTCAACACCGCAAACCTGAGCCCTGATCATATGCAGAGGTGGGCCTATCAGTAACTTACTCTTTCTTTCTTAAATAGTTCTGGCCTGCTAGCTAAGTTGGGTTCACTGCTCACCCCCAGTTATGTTTACCCCTTGACTTTCTTCATATCTTTGACAATAATGGTGTCTTTTTGAGGAGAGATTGGAAATCCTGGTTTTATATTAAAATTACCTTTACTTAAAGAGCTTTAAAAAAATACTGATGCCAGGCTTCCCCCCAAATACTCTGAGGCATGTGTATTTTTAAAATTTGTTCCAGGTGATTATGACCTACAGCCAGACTTGATACCTAATGCCATTGAGTTCAGATTATGTAAATATTCCACTAGGGTACTTATCTTTCTGAAGCCTTTTCTTGGAAACAAATATTTTCTCTTTTTGTTATCTTCCTTGTTTTGATATAAAAACAAGAGGCCAGGTGCAGTGGCTCACGCCTGTAATCCCAGCACTTTGGGAGACCAAGGCGGGCCGATCATCTGAGGTCAGGAGTTCGAGACCAGCCTGGCCTGGGGAAACACTGTCTCTACTAAAAATACAAAAATTAGCTGGGCATGGTGGTGCATGCCTGTAATTCCAGCTACTTGGGAGACTGAGGTTGGAGAATCGCTTGAACCCGGGAGGCGGAGGTTGCAGTAAGCCATGATTGTGCCACTGCACTCCAGCCTGCACAACAGAGCAAGACTCTGTCTCAAAATAATAATGATTCTAAAAAGACACATCATGTATTCCTCTGTTCCCCAGTTTTCAGGAAGGTGTGCTGTGTGTCCTGTCCCCGTGAGTAAATGATCATGCCCCAAATTGAAGGTGGAGGATGTTGAGCTTTATTTTCTTCTTGGCCTACAGGCTGACTTTCAAACTGTGCCACATGTACTGGAATTGGCCTGGCACCATCAGAGTTCCAGCTCCTTGCAAGTATGCCCACAAGCTAGCTTTCCTGTCAGGACAGATCTTGCATCATGAACCAGCCATCCAGCTGTGCGAGAACCTGTTCTTCCTGTGACTGCACAGCCTGGAGATGGGCTGGGGAGGAGAAAGGCAGCCTCTGAACTCAGCTGTGACTCTTGCAGAATCAAAGAGACTAAAGTGGGCTTTCGTGTTATCCTTTTCCCTTTCTCCAACCCTGTAGTATAAGATATCTTTTTTGTCTTTTAAACCTAATATCACCAAGAAGCAAGTTTCTAAGTAACAGCTGAAAATGGCCTTGTTGCCTGTGTAGAGCAAGTTACAGTAGTACTGCCACTCTGCAGGTAGAGTGGGTGACTCTGGGGGGCCATTAAGAGCCTCCAAAGCCAACGTGAGCTGTAGAAAACTGCAGAAACAGCCATTATACTTCTAAGCTGTGCTGACAAAGTGGTTCCCATTTCTGGAGCCAGAGATGATAATGAATGAAGTCATCGCAAGTATCCTAAAGAGAGTAACTCAGGCAACTGGGAAAGGCAGCGGAAGGTCTGTGAAGCAACGTTTTCAAGTAAATACTGCTATTGCTTGCCAGGTGTGCAAGGCACAGAGTCAAATCAGTCTGTGGCATAGGTAGGCCCTTGCTGACTAAATTTTTTGGGGGGGATTGAATTTATAATGCCTGTGACTTGAGTTGGATTTGAAAATGGCTTCCCTTGACCTCTTGAAAGAGTGCAGATGAAGCTTTTTCTCACAGTAACTTTCCAGCCTACCATGTTGATTTCTTCCTTCCCCAAATAAGCACATGCTCTTTTGCTCTCTGTGCCTGATCTTCAGTAAGTTTTCGTTTTTTAACACATGGAAAAAAATCTAGCAGCTAGGAAAGTTCGGTTTGGGGTGGGAGTTTTTAGTGAGCTTTTCTCCCAGGTGTGTGGCCTTTGTTTCTATTTTTATATGTTTGTAAATGGAATTACCCACTTTCTCTTGCAAAATCACCTCTTCCTGGCTGTTGGCTCACTTTGCTAGAATTTTTCTGAGTCCAAGTTAAGATTTCCAGAAGTCAGCTTTGGAAAACGTGACACTCCTACCAAAGTCCATGCAGTTTAGCAAGTTGTCACATACCATGGGTTTCAGTGTTTTTGGAAAGCTGGTTTTTTCTTTTTTTTTTCCCCCTCCCCTTTTAGAATCTTCTCCCAGTCCCTTCAGACTTAGTTCTGTCTCCTCTTGCTTTACTGGGTTTTAGAAACCAGTCTTATTTAACCTTTTCTGATTTGTATTTATGTACTTATTTATTTTTTTGGTATGATGGCAGGGAGGGGACAAAGCAGAAATGCCCCTTTTATGTGACAGTGTGTGAGAAAAGAAACTTTAGCTTAAAACTCCTTAAAATGTGCTCACTTCAGCAGCGCATATGCTAAATTTGAAGTGCTATAAAGAAGATTATAGAAAAAAGAAAACAGATTTCCTTAAAACAAGAAAACCAATAATGTTTTTAGTTTGTTGTGGTGCCCAGCACAGGTCAAGGAGGAATGGGCATTGTTGGTGCATTTATGGTTTCATTTGGAGTGTGGGGCGTTAGGGTGACGCAAGGACCTGGAATTTAAAAACCACAGAATCAAACACTGAACCACTGGTCTCTGGCTAAACGGGTCAGTTTTCTGATTTTCTTTGGAAGCGTTTTGAATTTTTATGTTGAAGTTGGATTTCCTAATACTCTTTTTCTCTTAGATAATCAGTACAAATGCTTGACTACATTATAATACAAAAATTTCTTCACTTTTTATTCTTGATTTTCTTCCCTTGTTTTTCAGTTTTAATGCCAAATGATTGGGTTGTGGGGTGGGAAATAAAAACAACTTTGTATAAACGTTGTTGTGTTTGAAATAACGTCACTTATTTATATATCCTTCAGAGAGCTGCAGCACTTCCGAGAAACACTCATTCCTCTGCTTGTAAGGTGCAATGCCAGTGTTAGTAGCCGGGTAATGTCATCATGGGCTGGGTAAGAAGACTTACTGGAGAAGACAAGAGCCGTCTCACTTCTCAGACAGATAAGGCACTTACAGTTTGTGTGTGCGTGTGTGTGCGTGTGTGTGTGTGTGTGTGTGTGTGTTTCTTTTTCCCATTAGAAATCTCTTTTACCCTAAGTGAGAGCCAGAGTGCGCCCAGGTGCGAGGGCAGCCTCCCTACCACTCCACTCTTTTAGCGCTTGCCCTTCCTTACATGTACCTTGTGGGTGTCTGTCACCATTAAAATACCTTCCCTGGGTACCAAAATCCAGTTAGAAGGAATAAGATCTAGTGTTCAGTGGCACAGTAGATAGAGCAACTATAGTTAACAAAAATGTATTGTACATTTCAAAATAGAGGAGTGGGATTGGAATGTTCCTAACACAGAGAAATGATAAATGATAAACGAGCGGTGGCTCACCCTGGTAATCCCAAGCACTTTGGGAGGCCGAGGTGGGTGGGTCATTTGAGCTCAGGAGTTGAAGACCAGCCTAGGCAACATGGCAAGACCCTGACTACAAAATATACAAAACTTGGCCAGGCTTGGTGGTGTGCGCCAATAGTCCCAGCTGCTCAGGAGACTAAAAGCAGGAGGACTACTTGAACCCAGAAGGCAGAGGTTACAGTGAGCCGAGATTGCACCACTGCTCTCCAGCCTGGACGACAGAGCAAGACTCTGTCTCAAAAAAAATAAAAAATGAGAAATGTTTGAAGTGATAGCCCAGTTACCCTGATTTGATTCTTACACATTACATGCTTGGATCAGAATATCACACCTATGCCATAAATATGTACCACTACTATGTATCCAAAAAATTAAAAATAAAAAAATTTTAAGTACCTTCCCAAAGCACATAGCTGCTCACTTAAGCACTGCATTTATTTAGAACCCTACAATTTTCCTATTGATTTAGAAACTCTGTGCTTCTTGAACTCATTCTAGAAAGAATCTCATTTCTGTGCAGTAGTCTCTTATCCATGGGGAATACATTTGAATACTGCCAGCGGTTGCCTGAAACCTCAGTACTGAATCCTTATATACAGTACTATGTTATTTGAATCCGATACTCAGGATGTTGACTAAGTGACTAATGTGTAGCATCACTGGTGTGGATACTCTGGACAGACATGATTCATGTTCCCAGGGGATGGAGTAGGACGACACAAAGTTTCATCACTACTCAAAACAGTTTGCAATTTATAACATGAATTTCTGGAATTTTCCATTTAATAGTTTTGGACTTTGGTTGACCAAGGACAACTGAAATCTCAGAAAATGAAACCGGGTAAGGAGGAACTGCTGTACAGTGTGACAGGGCCCTTTTCACTTGGGCAGCACTTTGTTGAATGGTGTAAAAAAGGAAGGAATTTTAGACATGACTATATATTTTAAAACCTTAAAATTTGGGCCTGAAGTTAATTTCTTGGAGGTTTGGGGTTATTAGAGAAGACGCTGGTTTTTCTTTCTGGCTCTATGGCTAGCTGAGTTACTTAGTAACTTTTCCTGCCTAGAATTTTATTTTTTCAAAAAATGAGGAACATCAAGAGCATGAGAAGACAAGCCACAGCCTAAAAGAAATATTTGCAGAATACACATCTGATCAATGATTGTTAACCCAAAATATACAAAGAACTCTTTAATGAGGAAACTACTCAGCTTTTTAAAAAATGGGCAATAGACCTGTACAGATGTCATCAGAGATGTACAGATGGCAAATAAGCATATGAAAAGATGCTCCACATCATATATCCTTGGGGAACTGCAAATCAAAACCAGACACCCATTCCACCTGGCAGGATAGCCAAATCCAAAACACCAACAACACATGCTGGTGAGGATGCAGGGCCTCAGGAACTGGTACCACCACTTTAGAAGAGTTTTTAATAAAACTAAACAGTATTACAAAACAACACACATAATATATGATGCAGCAGTCATACTCCTTGATATTTACCCAAAGGAGATGAAAACTCATTTCCACACAAAAACCTGCATACAGACATTCATGGCAGCTGTATTCATCGTTTCAAAAACTTGGAAGCATCCAAGATGTACTTCAGTAGGTGAATGGATAAACTGCACTTGGACAGTGGAATATTATTCAGCCCTAAAAGGAAATGAGCTATCAAGTCATGGAAAGACACAGGGGAATTGAAATGTATATTGCTAAGTTGGAAGAAGCCAGTCTGGAAAGGCCATATATGACTGTAACACGTGACATTCTGGAAAAGGCAAAACTGTGGAGATAGTAAAACGATCAGCAGTTTGGCCAGGCGCAGTGGCTCACACCTGTAATCCCAGCACTTTGGGAGGCTGAGTTGGGTGGATTACCAGGTCGGGTGTTCAAGACCAGCCTAGCCAATGTGATGAAACCCCGTCTCTACTAAGAATATAAAAATTAGCTGGGCGTGGTGGTGGGTGCCTGTTATCCCAGCTACTTGGGAGACTGAGGCAGGAGAATTGCTTCAACCCAGGAGTCAGAGGTCACAGTGAGTCAGGATTGCGCATTGCACTCCAGCCTGGGCAACAAGAACAACAATCTGTCTCAAAAAAAAAATGATAATAAGAATAAAAGGATCAGCAGTTGTGGAGAGAGAAGCAGAAACAAAGGATTTTAGAGCAGCAAAACTATTCACTGTGATGCTGTAATGGTGAATTCATGTGATTATGAATCTGTCTGATCCCACAAAATGTACACCCTGATGTGTACCTATGGACTCTGAGTGATATGTCAGTGTAGGTTTATCAGCTATAACAAACTTAACAGGGAAGAGAGGAGAGAGCAGTGGGGGAGGGAGGAAGGTTAATATTTATTACAAGAAGGAAGGGGAAGCCAGAGTGGTACCAGCATAGTTCCCAGGATTCTGGGCAAAATACAGGAATAGTGAGGTCTTTCGTTCCAGGCAGGGACAGGACGTGCAGCCTGAGCCCCTGCAAAGTGCAGGATTGCTAGAGCTGAGTCTCCTGCATGAAGAGAGCTGGAAGCTGTAAGGGGACTAGAGAACCTGTGCCAACCATCCTGGGGCAGCTGTGGGGAAATGTGGTCTTTCACCAGGGAAATGGATAGGGTGAAAAAGACATCCATCAAAAATCTCCAAGCCTGGCCCACAAGCCTGTGTAGTCTGAATTTTTGTTATTAGCATGCTGAAGGGCCACAAGTTGAATAATTAACAAAGATTGGCCCAGACCAATGGAAACTCCAGAACCTTGCAGAACCCAATGCGGTCCATTAAACTGCAGCACGAAAGATGTATAATTAGGACCTATGGAAGCAAAGAGACCAGAGAGAATGAGCAGGTCCAACATGAGTCTGAGAGAGGTTCCTATAGGATAAGATAGAAAGAATGGGTGGCACACAATACGGAAGATACAAAGATACACAGTATTCCAAAATGAAAGATATGGGTCAGTGCAGTGGCTTATACCTGTTATCCCAGCACTTTGGGAGGCCAAGGTGGGTGGATTGCTTGAGCTCAGGAGTTTTAGAACAGCCTGGGCAACATGGTGAAACCCTGTCTCTTCAAAATAAATAAAAAATTAGCCAGGCATGGTGGCACATGCCTGTAGTCCCAGGTACTCAGGATGCTGAGGTGGGAAGATCACTTGAGCCCAGGAGGTTGAGGCTACAGTGAGCTGTGATAGCACCACTGCACACCAGCCTGGTGACAGAGCGAGACCTTATCTCAAAAAACAAAAATAAAAATCATCTAAAGAAATGTACTGGGGATAAAGAAAAGCATATCCATCACTAGATATACTATAGTCAAAGTATGGAACATGAAAGACTGAGAATCTTGAAAACAAAACGACCAGATATGATCCAGCAATTCCACTGCTGGGTATATGCCCAAAAGGAAATCAGTATGTTGGGTGGGGCGCCGTGCCTCACACCTACAATCGAAGCATTTTGGGAGGCCAAGGCGGGGGGATCACTGAAGGCCAAGAGTTCCAGACCAGCCTAGCCAACCTGGTGAAAACCTGTTTCTACTAACACTACAAAAATTAACTGGGCACAGTGGGGCATGGTGGTGCACAGTGGGCACGGGGGGCTGAGGCATGAGAATCGCTTGAACCCTGGAGGTGGAGGTTGCAGTGAGCCAAGATGGTGTCACTGCACTCTAGCCTGGCAACAGAGTGAGTCTCTATCTCCAAAAAGAAGAAAGAAATCAGTTTGCTGAAGAGATACGTGCACTCCATGTTCATCCAGCATGATTCACCATAGCCAAGATATGGAAACAACCTACGTGTCCATCAACAAATGAATGGATTTTTTTTTTTTGAGACGGAGTTTCGCTCTTGTTACCCAGGCTGGAGTGCAATGGTGTGATCTCAGCTCACCACAACTTTTGCCTACTGGGTTCAGGCAATTCTCCTGCCTCAGCCTCCTGAGTAGCTGGGATTACAGGCCTGTGCCACCATGCCCAGCTAATTTTTTGTATTTTTAGTAGAGACAGGGTTTCACCCTGTTGACCAGGCTGGTCTCGATCTCTTGACCTCGTGATCCACCTGCCTCGGCCTCCCAAAGTGCTGGGATTACAGGCATGAGCCACCACGCCCGACCATGAATGGACTTTTAAAATGTGACACATTTACACGATGGAATAATATCCAGGCTTAAATAAAAAGCTGGACATTCTGTCACTTTTGACAACCTGGATGAACTCAGAAGACATTATGTTAAATGAAATAAGCCAGGCTTGGCCGGACGCAGTGGTTCATGCCTGTAATCCCAGCACTTTGGGAAGCCGAGGCAGGCAGATCACTTTAGGTCAGGAGTTCAAGACCAGCCTGGCCAACATGGTGAAACCCCATCTCTCTAAAAATACAAAAATTCGCTGAGCATAGTGGCTGGTGCCTGTAA